GCAAAGTAGAGCAAATTTATAGACTGAATGGGCCCTAAAATAAATTATGAACTGTATTATGTACACTGGATGCCTGGCTTTGTGGGTTTTTGCCCACCTACGATAATGAATAACAAAAATTGCAGTCAAACTCCCTATTAGTTGGAAGTCTTGGGTCATGCCACCACTATGTATATTGACTTATCTTTGAAGTTCCTCTGCTCTGGATCAGATCACCGATGACAACAAAATCCATGCTTGGTTGACAAGCTGTAAACATAGGAGGTGGTTGTGATCATTTCAACATGCACATGTGCTATATAATTCTGAACTTCCATCCATGCGAATCTGCATGTTCAGCGTTACTCTTTCTTTGACAGCGGTTTCCCCACTGGTTCATATCTGAGAGTATTCCCGAGTTACATTTAAATAGATGTGTTTAGTTTATGCATTGCTGCATTTATATTTTATATTTAATAAACCTAAACCACTGCTTTGCAAAGGTTTAACAATACATAAACTGGTCTCAAGGCTTCTTCCCAAAATGGAGTGTGGGGTCCCGAGTATCTACAAATATATAAATCCAATAAAGTTTGAAAAGCCCGACTTCTGGACACTTCCACTTTGAAATTAATGTACCAGAATTCTATACACAGACGCCACCATGCATTTAGGATTGCTATAGGATGACTATGAACAAACCTATATTTTTTTTTGTAAACCTGAATATTTGGATATATAAATATATATATATATATTTTTTTTTAAAGCAGTTGCTTGCCATCACTCTTAGCAGGTACAGTGACTCATCTAAGAATACTGAGATGTGACGCATATCATTTATTATAAGTTGAAGATATAAGCAGATCCTTGGGGGAGATTTAATTTCTGTAATGTGTATGTCTTTACCATGGTTCTTTTATTATTCTTGTGTCCCTTGTCCCGAGTCCAGAAGTCAGGTTTCTCAAACTCCATTGTTGTCATACATTTTGTAAAAGGTTAACTTACTAAAACCTGGATCAGTTTCAATGCTGCATTTTTAGAATTGGTAGTGTTTACGGCAGGACTGTGATGATTTAGCGACACAATTTTCGCAAAGGATAAAGAAAGTATGCTGCAGAAGGGGGCTGTTTAGCCTTAAGGACTAGTTTAGAGGTTAGAATCCAACCCGTTAAAGAAGTCTCACCAGAAGATGAAGACACTTGATAAACCTCCCAGGGGACCCAGTGCACATTGCACTTGGTTCCATTCTAATTTCTACAGGGGTCGATAAGCAGAGTTGTTGGATAGCTCACCCCCCTTCCTGCCCCCGCTTTTCAACAATGATGGACGAAGGAGGTGGCAGTTCTGACAGAGCACAGAGGAGTGACGGGCATAACCCTACCCCCTCCTCCTTTAACCCCTTCGTGACTGACGACGTACAGTGTACGTCGCCAGCATCGGGGCTGTTTAAACAGACTCCCGGCGACTTTTGCCGCCGGGACTCTGTTTAAACTTGTAGAGCCGACTGTCGGCTTTACAACAGAAGCGATCCTGGCGACTTACCTGTCGCCAGATCGCTTCTGTGTCCCGAAGAAGGTGCGCCCCCCCTCCCGCCGGACACCGCCGCCGTGCTTCCCGGGCTCCGTTGCCCCTCCTACGGGACCGGCGTCCTTGGTGTCCGCGGGGAGGAGGTCGACGAACTTCCATTCATCGATCCCCTCCCCGTTGCATCACTTCCGGTTTAATAAGGAGTTGCGCTAATATTGCACAACATAAAAATTTGCAACTACCACCATTTTATTGTATAGGGTCTTGGCATTCAGAAAATATATAATGTTGGGGGGTTTTAAGTCATTTTCAGGCCTAAAATGTGGAATATAACATGGGTGCAAAAAATTTAAAAAGTGCCTCACTCATGAAGGGGTTAAAGGATGCCAGATGGAACATCTTCAGCTCTGCCATGCAGCGCTCTGCATTCGCTGATCTGCTCTGCAAGCTTTTTCAGCAAGAAACACTGAGTGCAGATCCACCGCCACCTATTCAGGGGATAGAAAATGGAGTAGTAATGGTGAGCTTGTTTTTTTTGTGATGGTCAGCAGCTAGAGAAGCACACGGTCATTCACAAAAACACAAGACAGTTACTACACTAGTTTTGGACAAGTGTAGTAGCTGATTTGGGTGGGTAATTACAGTAAATGTTTTTTTTTTAAATTAGCAGCTACAAGTTTTGTCTGAAAATGTTAGTTGCCTGGATGTCATGCTAACTGGCTGGCTTCAATATATATTGAGTCATTGGCCCGGAAAGAAATACCAAGAAAGTCATAAACCTTAATTGCATACTTGTTCCATGTTACCGACTATGGTTTTTATTTACCAAAGGAGCGGAGAATCTTCATGTGCAAAGTAAACAAACAGGATTTTGCTCTTCACTTGATAGGATAAAATGAATCCTCACTTAACTTACTGAGTGAAGATGCTTAACTCTTTCAGCAAATTTCGCCAAATGTTTTGCTTGGCAGCCAGCATTTGCAGAATGAGAAGTGGTCTCCAGTTTTTTTTCGAAGGAAATGTTTCCTTTAATGAATGAAGCCTTCACAATTGCACCCAACTAAGACCCTAAGCATCCATATATATAGGCTATAACATGCATATAAAATAGGGCTGGACAATATCTGGTCGCAACTGCAATTTAAAAAAAAAAAAAAAAACCTATGGCGACCAGGTCAGACAGGCACTGGTATCCCAGAGCTATCTGCAGCGCGTTCCCCTCAACTGACACAGCAGGCGTTGCCGTGCACGGAGGCGATGAGAGGGGCTCTGGCCGGGTCTACGCTCTCTATTGTTGGGCTCAGAAAGTGTAGTGCTGGCTCCTATTT